CAAAAATGAGGAGCACTCTACACCGCAACATCTCTTTCTCAATGGGTGACGCTGTTCACGGATGGACCTCACGGCTATCCATCAGATTCTGTAATGACACATTACAAAGATGATGAAGAACCAATGAGGTAATCCCTTTAATGAAATATAAAGATGTGGATAAAATGATGCCTACTTATGACAATCTGCTGAGAAATCTTTATTTGAATATTGATTGGTTCAGTTATCCTTCCAAGAGTGGACCCAGCAAATGAGAGATATGCTGGAGGCAAGAAAGCGTGGGGATGTTGCATTTCGTGACAAAGATTTTAAGACTGCTATTGAGTGTTATTCTCAGGTATGTATGGCATTCTGTGTGGAATGAGAAAATGACATCCATATGCAGAGGCCCTGTCATGCCTGGTTTGGGCCTTGATATTTCTAGCTGTTTCACTTGGTATACTGTTTTGTCACTTCTGTGGTATCAGGTCAGAAGCCCCCTAGGTTTGCGGGTCTGATTATGAAGTGTTGGATGGGACAGATTTTTAGGTGTGGAGTTTTGCTAAGCAATAAGATGAAGTCATCAACTGGGAATTTTAGTATCTGAATAATTTACTCTGTTGTTTTTGGTGGAGGATCTGTTGGAGTGTGATATGGTGGGATAGATGAATTAGAGAAGTAATAAGTCACTTGTTTTCCTTTTTCCTTTTGTACCGGGCATGGTACCCGGGGAGTGTGATATGGTGAGATAGATGAACTAGAGAAGTAATAAGTCACTTGTTTTCCCTTTTCCTTTTGTACTAGGCATGGTACCCAGGGCCTGGACAAGAGTCCATAAGTTTTAAAGATCATTTCTTAACGGAGAAGAATTTGATAGAAAGAAAAGAAAATCTGGTTGCATATAATAATTCAAAACAGGAAAACACTTAGTTTCTCCCGTATTCGTTGGTCAACTTATCACCTTTTTTCTCTTTTACCATTCACAGTTCATAGACGTAGGGACAATGGTTTCACCAACAGTTTATGCACGACGAAGTCTTTGCCATCTCCTCTGCGATCAAGCAGATGCTGCACTGAGAGATGCAATGCAAGCTCAATGTGTATATCCTGAATGGTCCACAGCATTTTACATGCAAGCGGTTGCTCTGGCGAAGCTGGACATGCACAAGGATGCAGCTGACATGCTAAATGAGGCTGCTGCACTAGAAGAGAAGAGGCAAAAAGGCGGGAAATAATGTCCGATAGAAAGTAATTTTCTTTGAATTTTTCTTTTGTAATCTGTGGTTAATTGCTGTGGTGGTTGTTGTAACAAAGCATGTGGGTGCATGTACAATGGGAATTGGGAAAATAGGTCTCCTTCAAATTGTACCATAGAAGAAGGGTTGGGGAACCTGTTCTTTCTTTTTTTCTTTTCTTCTTTTGTGATTTAAATGAAATAATTTCATCATCTTCAAGAAGAAGAATTTCCCATAACTTTGTTACAGTCTCTTCATGTCAACTTATCCTGTTAATTCAACTTTCTTTACTTAATAATTTTAGATTGCACCAATCAATTTTTTAATGATTATACATGAAAATGTAATTAGTTTTACTTAATTAATACACCATTCATTTGATAAATATCTATAACAATATGAAATTTTTTAATAATTTCAATTAATTTTTAGTACTGTATACAATTAATATGATTCTAAATCAATATTATATATCCTAATAATATATTAAATAACTAGTTACAATTAATTACAGTGAATTTTATGATATACATATAGCTTTTCTATTAACTTGTCTCTAGCACAGTAGTAGTCGTTAAAAGTCAAAAACTCGTACAGAGAAGCTGAACTGTGCAGGAGAGTGGATTCTATTACACACACTCTCCTGACATCACTTTGCAACTAAGAATTTGTTCAAAAATAACATCTGCCGTCTCTCTCCCGGAGAATTTTATAATGAAACTACCTTTATTTGGTCAAAATATACTTTTACACTTATAATCTAAGCCTAGCAGTGGCAAAAACCGAGCACTTGAGAAGTATTTCTTTGTTGAAAAAGAAAAAAGGCAATCAATTGATTCTCAATGTGTATGTGTATTTTTAGCTTATCTTACAGTAATATCATTTGATACAATCAAGCCACATATAACTCAGCTTTTCCATCAATGAAGAGGCTCATAAACTCTTCTCCATCAACAGTTTCTTTCTCTATTAGAAGTTGTGCAAGCTTGTGCAGAATGTCAATGTGGGTTGTGACGATCTGCTTGGCTCTTGAATATGCCTTCTCTACCAGCTCTCTGACTTCTGCATCCACCACATCTGCAGTTGCCATGGAGTAATCTTTCTGCGATGACATCTGCAAACGAAATCGTTTATGAAATTATTCCCAAGTTGTGCATTTGTTTAGCATTACAAGTTGGTTGATCATGGCAAGGATACAATGTTTCTTAGAGCAGGTAAGAACATCCAAAGGACATAGTGAATAATGAAGTCATCCAATCACAGCCTAGTTACCTGTTGACCCAAGAAGGGATTTCCACCAGGTCCCCCAATTGCAACTTGCCCAATCTTTTTACTGAATCCAAATCTCTCTACCATTTGCCGTGCCACACGTGAAACTTGCATGAAATCATTTGATGCTCCTGTAGTCACATTTTCCTCACCGAAAATCACTTCTTCTGCAACCCTGCAGTGGCAAAAAGATCATGTTTTGTTATTTGGAAAGAGGAAAGACTAGTGGGCGGATGCAGTACTTCCAGTTCTCCCATTTCACATTGAAGTCCTATTCTATAGGAACTGAGCTAATTTGTTATTGGCCAAATTGGACAATTTGTGACAAAGACATGCATAACGATGCTACATAGGCATTAATACACTTCTGAGCTCTGAGTAACTGACCTTCCACCAAGTGCAACAGCCATCTGATTCTCCAAGTAGCTTCTACTGTACAAGCCAGACTCAAGTCTTTCTTCACTTGGAGCAAAAAATGTGAGTCCCCCAGCTTGGCCACGAGGAATGATGGATATCTTGGCTACAGGATCATATTCTGGCATGAGTGCCCCAACTAGAGCATGCCCAGCCTCTGCAAATCAGATGCACATATATAGTTAGGGAATAAGACCCGAACTTACATCAAATGGGATCAGAGGAAAACCAGAGATCACATACCATGATAAGCAACTAATTTCTTTTTCTCATCGGATACAACAGCATTCTTCTTCTCTGGTCCAGCAATGATTCTCTCCAGAGCATCAGATATCTCATCTTTGCTTATTTCCTTGAGATCACGCCTGGCTGCAAGTATAGCTGCCTCATTCATCAAATTCTGCAAATCAGCCCCTGTAAAACCTGGAGTTCTCCTTGCAATCTTCTCGAAGTCAACATCCTTTGCAAGTGCCTTTCCTCGAGAGTGCACCTGCAAGTAAGGGATACAAGGCGGTAGGAAAAATGGAGTATTAGGTAATGAGTTTGGACTACACTTATAAAGCTATTTGAACCCACATGCTTGGTATTTAATGGCAGCAAAGAATACCAAATACAACTAGTTTAACTGAGGCTAACAATAAATAAAATAGGAGGAACTGACTAGAACGATACACTTCCAGCAAATGAGCTTCACCCTTGACATATATCTAAACAAAACTATACCTAGTAATACTATTTCCTACGAGATGAGGTGCTTTCTACAAAATATGAGCAAAATAGGCTAAAACCATAAGTACTTCAATTCTTCTTTCGGATCATTATATATCAAGTACCATAACACCACAACAGTAGCATACAAAATCACCACGCACCTCTATGTATTACACACTGCTAGAGTATACATGAAAAGGAAAAACTAAAGAAATTCCTTTAAGAAGGGGTGAAAAAACTAAGCAATGGCTCCTGCTTCTGCTATATGTTTTCTCTTTTGATTTCAATGACCATAGCCTATTCTATGAACTACTTGGAATTGAAGAATACGGCAAGTAACTGAAATTATCATGTTAAATCAAACCATAAGTGAAGGAGAAAAATGAGTAGCAAGGTTTTTATTAGAGAGCTAACCTGAAGGATCTTGACTCTACCAGCAACATCAGGCCTGTCCACAGTAACCTGTCTATCAAACCTCCCTGGTCTCAACAGTGCGGAATCCAGAACGTCAGGTCTATTTGTTGCTGCCAGCACAATAACCCCAGAATTACCCGAGAATCCATCCATCTCAGTCAAGAGCTGATTAATAGTCTGCTCTCTCTCATCATTCCCTCCTCCGAGACCAGCTCCTCTCTGCCTTCCCACTGCATCAATCTCATCAATAAACACAATGCAGGGTGCCTTTGATTTGGCTTTCTCGAACAAATCTCTCACTCTGGAAGCACCAACTCCCACAAACAACTCCACGAACTCTGATGCAGCACAAGAGAAGAAGGGCACCCCAGCTTCTCCAGCAACTGCTCTAGCTAATAATGTCTTACCAGTACCTGGTGGCCCAACCAAGAGACATCCTTTTGGAATTTTAGCTCCCAAAGCTGTGTACTTATCTGGGTTTTTCAAGAAATCAACAACTTCTTGCAACTCTAATTTTGCTTGGTCAGCTCCAGCAACATCGGCGAATGTGACTCCAGTCTCTGGAACCTCTTGAAATTTTGATTTCGATCTCCCAAAATCCATGGGCCCGCCAAGCCCACCGGGACCGCCAGGCCCGCCTTGAGCTCGTCGGAAGAGGAAGAACAGACCGGCAAAAGCAAGGAACGGAAAAAGCAGATTCCCAATAAAATTGAACAACCCATTACCGGAGTCTCCCTCAGACACCGAAATGTCAACCCCGTTCATGGCTAATATGTCGATAAGATCAGGGTCATTGGGAACGATCACGGTGGCGCGGCGGCCATCGACTGCGGTGAGCTGGAGGGCGGAACCGTCTTTGCTGAACCTGACTCTCTCCACTTTGCCCTTCTTTACCGCGTTCAAAAACTCGCTGTATCGCCATTGGCTGCCTTCCGGGAGATCAGATGATTGAGACTGGGGTTTAGGGGCTGTAAGGAGAAGATTTTGGGAGAAGGGTGAAGAAGCTGTGGGTTTAGTTGGTTGGAGGTCGACTACAGGCGGGGGTGTAGGTGGGTTTGAAGGGGCTTCGTCAAGGGCTAGAGCTTGCGGGGTTATGGAAGAGAAGAGCAAAGCAGCCAAGGTAGCTTGTGATGATATGTCCTTGAGGGAATCGGGTTTCCTATTGAGAATGGATTGTGTTAACCGGTGCTTGGTTCTGGAGAGAAAAGGGAAAATAAAAGGTTGCTTTGTTGTTTTAGGAGTTGGAGGAGAGATTATGATTTGGGTACCGAAGAAATTGGAAGAGAGCAGTGGGTTGGCGGAAGTTGACGCCATGGAAATGGGAGTTTTCCTGGTATGAAGTAGGTGTTCTTCTCTCCTCTTTATATTTTCAGAGTAGGAAGTATGAAGGGTTAGACAGTTGAAGCCTGTAAGCTTGGATTTTGAGATGGAAATACTCTTCAATTTTGATTTTTGGAGACATAACAGGTGATAAGTGGAATACCAGAAGATTGGTGTTGTTCGAGGTGCATGTACGTGGAGCTACAATATCCAGTCATCGTAAATATCCCATTCATTCTGTAAATGTAATTTAGCATAAAACAAAGAAGATCACAGTTCTCCCCACACAAAAACAAAAAGGCTTACAAAACCAGTTTGTGGTATCGTTTACAGACTCAACTTAGACTTTTTTTCAGAAAAATTTCGTAAAATATATATTGAAAAGGAGGAGATTAAATCAATGTTTGGTTCATGGGTTAGATGTGTCAAAATTCAAAAGTCCAACAGATGAGCTTTTGGTAGCCCATTTTTCTAATTCATGGGCTTGTGAGTTACATTCTCCAGGGATCCATGCCCATGAACTATTTAGCTCTCTGGTAACATTTCTCAGCTCTTTAATGATACGTTCAATGCACCGGCTGGCCACCACTTCTTCATCAACTTAGCCTTACATTGGTTTAAAGAAAAAAGTTATAATAACAAGGGTATGAACCATAATACCATATACGAGTAAAGTCAATTAGGTTTTATATCTATACAGCCAATACGAGCTTATATTTAGGTGGACTTAAATATCTCTATACCCAAGGCATAGGTCCAACTTCACCAACCAAAATTATGGGACGCAGCCCACTTAGCTAGTCAAGTAAGAGTTGCTTTCATATACAGCACAGCCACCAAGGAGAAGTGCAGGGTAATCTGCATCTGTTGTAAAGAAGAAGAGCAGAGGCAAGAACACTGACCTAATAATTTACACTAATCATTCAGGAAAAAAAATAATTATAATCATTTGACCTGCATGCATTAATCATACATTTCAAAATAATTTAGCACGATGACACGCCTGTCAAGATTCCATATGTGTCCCAAACCCAGCCATGTTAATAAGAGTCTGTCGTTATATAATTTCAACAATTTAATTTTTAATTTGCATGAATCTCAAGAAAATAAAGCATTTAGTTTTGTTCATTGATCTGTGTATTAAGAAGACAAGATCCCATTCCACTCCTGATTTCTTTCATGGAGGATTGATTGATGCTCCTCTACAGCAAACAACTTGTTCGGAAGAGATTAAACAATATGTAATTGACACCTGGTTGTATTGAACATAAAACAAGAACGTGTATGGAGTTTCCAAAAGATTCGTTGTTCTCCATATCACCAGCACCCACCATGAACATTGCATGGGGGACTGGTGACCCGTCATCTGTGCATTTCGCTTTATAAATTAATCCAAGTTCATCATATAAATATATTTGTGGGTGAATCCTGTCTGGAATCTATGCAGACAAGGCACTCGTGCGTGTTGATATTAAAATCGAATCGGTTCTCTGGAAAGCCACCGCATGAAACCATGTGTAAACCTGTTGATTGATTTTCTTTATCGCTTTCTCCTCTATAAATCTCTATATATAGCAGGCTGCAACAGCTCGCCATTATCGTTGACCAAGAACTTGTAAACCTACAAAAATACTCACACAAATGGCTGCTTGTCATTTTCGCTCTGTTAGTTTGTTGACGAGGACTCATCCTTTAACCTCAAATGTCGAGGAGCAGTTGAACAGATTGAGGGATCAATCACAGTCGCCGACTACCTCATCTTCATCATTATCTCAAAAACTCAGTGGCCTCCGGGAATTGTACGACTCTGTGAATGATTTCCTTGAGTTGCCGCTCACCCAACAGGCTCTCGCTCACCAAGATAATATCAAGATGGTAGAAGATTTGTTGGAGGGATTGCTTAGGTTATTAGATGTCTGTGGAAGAACCCAAGAGATCTTTTCTCAACTCAAGGCATGTGTGCAGCAACTTGAATCATCTCTCAGGAGAAGAAACAGGGTAGATGGATTGACAAGTGAAGTTGAGGCTTATATGGGTACAAGAAAATTATTGAAAAAAGCGGCATCCAAATGTTTTAGAGATCTGAAGACAAAGGAGAAGATGAAGAAAGAATCTAACTCAGTGGCTGCCATTAGCATGCTAAAACAAGTTGAAGAAATCAGTGTCGTGATGTTTCAGTCGTCGTTATCTTTTATATCTCAATCAAAGACAAGGACTAGCGGGTGGTCTGTGGTGTCCAAGTTAGTTCTTTCGAGAAGGGTAGCGTGTGAGGAAGCTGAAGATAATGAAATGGAGAAAATAGATGATGAATTGGGTGCACTGAAAGCCAGTAAGAAGAAACACAGAAATTAGTGGTGAAGGAACTGGGAAAATTGGATTCAACATTC